TGGGGAAGGGGACACAGCCCCTCCAGCTTGGGGGGGGGAGACCTGGGGCATCATCCCACACTGTGGGTCGCCCAGGGCGAGAAGAACAGCGTGGACTGGGGCGACCTGAACCTGGTGCTGCCGTGCCTGGAGTACCACAACAAAACGTGGACGTGGCTGGACTTTGCCATGGCGGTGAAGAGGGACAGCCGCAAAGCCTTGGTGGCACAGGTACGTGGGGTCCCGTCTTGCTGTGCATCCTTCCTGCTCCCAGGGAGGCTGCACGGAGGTCCCGGGATGCCCACCATGGTGGGCAATGCATTCCTTAGAGTGGGAAGCAGCTTCCCTGGCTCAGCAGCTCCAGCTCTCACCCATGCAAAGGGGGCTTGGGTGCATCCATGGGATGCTGAGCCCCCTAACTCCCGGGGCAGGTGATCAAGGAGAAGCTACGCCTGAAGCCGGCAGCGGGCGCAGAGGCCCGGGGGAAGCTGGAGAGCAAATCAGATGCGCCCATCCAGCAGCAGGAGGAGTACGAGAAGGCTCGGCTGCTCATCGGCCTGAGCGTGGGGGACAAGAACCCCAGCAAGAAGTCCATTTTCGGCAGGCGCAAATGACGGCAGCACCCGGCGGGCCGGGAAGGGACCGGGGTGCCCCATGCTCCCCTGTGGCAGTGAGGGGTGGCCCTGCTGCTCGGTGATGCCCAAAGGGGGGGGGATTAGCCACATCCAGCCCCCCAGCAGTGCTGTTGGGGCAGCAGCATGGGGCTGTGGGGCGCAGAGTGCTCTGGGGCTGGTATGTGGGTTGCAGACCACCCCTCCATGCCCGGTGCCAGTGGTGCCCCTTGAGCTTCCGTGCTCCCTGCTGTGCGGGTTCTGGGCCTGGGGAAGCAGCAGGATGGCTCCAGGCTGGGAGAAAGGGGAACGGGAGAGAGTTTAAATAAAAGAGTTTTTAATTTGGAACCCTTTGGTGGCTCCTTCCTCGTGTCCCCGTTCACGCTGCGGTGCCGGGAGCTCAGCCCCTGCCCTTCCTCGGGGCACGCAGCATCCCCATCACCCCCGGTGTTGGGCGCTGTGGGTACCCCACCGGGTACCCCGGAGCAGGGGATGCAACGAGAGGACGAGTGGGTGATGGGGAAGTGCAAGGGGGTGCCCGAAGGGTGCGGAGCGCCCCGAGGTGGGGGGGAGCAGTCACCGGTGGGTGCAAGGGGGTAGCCCCGCTTCCCCGGGGGTTGTCACACCCGGGCGGGGCGGAGCGGAGCGAGGCGGGGCGCCGGGGTTATGTAAAGCCGCGGATTACCGGGGCCCGGGCCCGGGTCGGCGCCGCGATGGGAGCATCGAGCAGCGGCCCCGGCCCGGCCCCGGTCCCGGTGCGGCCCCCTCAGGTGCGTGCGGCGGCCCCCGGGGTCCCCCCCCTCCCGGTTCCCGGTGTTCCCCCCCCCCCCACGCTGACGCTGACCCCCCCCCCGGTTCCGTAGGGCCGCGCTGTGGGGTCGTGGGTGCGGGCGCTGTTGGGCCGTGCCCGGCCGGTACCGGGATCGGGGCTCGCCCTGGTCCCGCGGGGGAGCACCGAGGAGCCGCCGCTGCCCGGGTGGCCGCTGCCGCAGCTCGTCTCGCTTTTCCTGCCGGAGTTCCCGGTGCGCCCCTCCGCCCGCCAGCAGCAGCTCAAGGTGCAGTCCCGGGGCTCCCATCCCCTTACCGGGGTCCCGCTGCATCCTATCTGGGTCCCCGACCGTCCCCTCTGGGCACCCGCGAGTCTCGTCCTGGCAGGCGGGTCCCCTCGCACCCCGTTACCGGAGCCCCTGCACGTCCTACCCCGGTTCCCCGAAGCCCCGAGCATCCTCCCGCGCCGTCCGTGCACCCCGTGCCGCCATCCCGGCATCGCCTCCCTGGCTCTCCTCGGAAGCCCTTGCCCCGTCCCTTCACATCTTAACGGCTTCCCCCCCCCCCGTGTCCCCTTCTACCCCCGCCAGGTCCCCGTGCCCCGGTGTGAAGCCCCTGTGCGTCTTACCGGGGTCCCTCTGCACCGTTATGGGGTCCCCGTGTGCCCTACTGTGTCCCTGTCCCCCATCCCTATGTGCCCCACACCGGGTCCCCTGCATCCCACTGTGGTCCATGTCGGGTCCTCCTGGTCCCCAAGTGTCCCCATCACCTGCCATGGGTGCCCTGGACCACCCCGTGTCACCCTACACAGGACTCCACACCCTGTTCCAACCCCAAGCACCCTGATCCCATCTCCATGGGGTGCTCAGACCCTGATCGCCCCCCCCCAGATCCTGGGCTTCGTGGCTAAAGGCTCTTTTGGGACCATCCTCAAGGTGCTGGACTGCGGGCGGGAGAAGGTCTGCGCCGTGAAGGTGGGTGCTGCCCCCCAGGACCCACGTGTACCCCTGCCTGCCCTCAGCCCCCCCTGACACCCCTTCACCCCCCCCCCAGGTCGTGCCTAAAGTGGAGGTGCTGCGCCGAGACACCCTCAAACAGTGCAAGGAAGAAGTCAGCATCCAGGTTAGGGGGAACCCCAGCCCATGGGGTGGTCATGGGGCTGGCAGAGGCCACTGGGAGGGTGGCAGAAGCGGGGTCCCCATGCCCCCCATCCCCCTGCTCACCCTCTTTGTTTTGTGTCCCCAGAGACAGGTCAGGCACCCCTTTGTCCACGGGCTGGGGGACAGCTGGCAGGGCCAGCGCCACCTCTTCATCAGTGAGTGACCATCTGCCCCCGGCCCCCCCGCCTGCCCCACACACGTGTCCCCACCGCCAGCACACGTGTCCCCGCACACGCACATGCTCCCCCCCCTCCCAGCTCCCGCACGGCCCCCCCGGGGATGCAGGCGCTCGGCTGATGGCTCCCAGCCTGCAGGGATGGAGATGGGGACAAGCTGCAGTGGGGCAGGGATGTACACGGGGCTGAAGGAGGAGCCCCAGCCCTGGTGGCCCCGATGGCTGTGCCGCCTCCATGCCCGTGTCACTTCTGTGCTCCTGGTGCCTGTATGACCCTGGGGAGGGGGGGGGGCATGTCACTTCGGTCCCCACCTTGGAGCTTGCCTGTCCCCAGTGCTCCTTGGCACCATTGTATGTGGCCCTGGTACGTGCATGCTCCTATATGGTCTTAGTATGACTAAGTATGACATACCGTGTCACCTTAGTATGTTAATCCCGGTGCCTACATCGCCCTGCTGCTTGTGCCACCCTCTATCCCCAGGGCTTGTCTCCCCACGGCGCATGCCCATAGTAGCCACATCACCTCGGTGCGCAGCCCCATTGACCCACCTGCCCCCCCCCTCCGTGCACATGCCACCCCCTTTCCCATGCCCCTCATGCCCGTGTCACCCGTCCCCACAGTGTGCACCTACTGCAGCACCGGGGACCTGCACGCGCTGTGGCGTGCGGCTGGGTCCTTCACCGAGGCCACCGTCCGCCTGTTCGCTGCCGAGCTGGTGCTGGTGCTGGGTGAGTGTTCACCATGCTGGGGACAGCACCCATGGGTCCCCATGGATGAGGGGACCTGCAGGGATGGGCCTGCTGGGTGCTGTGGGAGGGGACCCATGGCTCTGATGGCTCCATCTTCCCCCCAGTGTACCTGCACGACCTGGGCATCATACACAGAGACGTGAAGGTGGGTGACAGAGGGTTTGGGGGGTCTGGGGATGGGGTGAGGGGTGGTCTCTGAACCCCCCAGCATGGAGAAGCCACCCCAGCGCCTGTCTCATTTCAGATGGAGAACATCCTCCTGGATGAGCGAGGTAAGAGCCTGGTGGCACTGGTTTGAGGATGCAGCATCCGTGGGGACACCCTGTCCATGGGGATGCCCCATCCTTGGTCCCCTATGTGGTGTCTCGCCCCACAGGGCACCTCAAGCTCACTGACTTCGGCCTCTCCCGGCACCTGCAGTGGGGCGAGCGAGCCCACACCATCTGTGGCACCCTGCAGTACATGGGTAAGGGGGCAATGGGAGGGCTGCGATGGGGGGCACAGTCCCCCCAGGCACTCATCTACTCATCCCCACAGCCCCAGAGGTGCTGAGTGGGGGACCCTACAGCCATGCAGTCGACTGGTGGTCCCTGGGTGTCCTGCTCTTCGCTCTGGCCAGTGGGGAGGTGAGGACCATGGGGTAGGGAGGATAATGGGGCTCCATGGGGTGCCCCTAAATCCATTTCTGCCCCCCCCCCAGTTCCCCGTGGCACCAGCAGGGGACCATGTGGCCATGCTGGAGCGTGTCAAGCGGAGCAGCTACCAGAGCCCGCCCGCGTTCAGCCCTGCGCTGGCCCGGCTGATGGCCGAGGTAACGGCCCCGCATGGGATTTGGGGTCCCCACGGCCCCATCCCGGGGGTGCCCCCTGCTCAACTGCCCTCCTCCCTCCCCAGCTGCTGTGCCACAACCCCCTGCAGCGCCTGCGCTACCTCCATCACTTCCAGGGACACCCCTTCTTCCGCGGCGTGGCCTTCGACGCCGACCTCCTGCAGAAGGACCCGGTGCCGGTGGCCGTGGCCCCGCAGCCCCCGGAGCAGCCCCCGCCAGACCCCGTCACCTTCGATGACTTCGACTCCGATCTCCAAGTCCCTTCGACTGCACCCCCGGGCCGGCCATGCCCTGGATGAGCCCCCCCAAAATCCCCCCGGCATCGCTCAGGGACATCCCCCCGAACCCCGGTCCAGGGCCGGGCTCCCCCGTACCCCCCCCTTGTACCTCTCCCGCGGGAGCAATAAACCCGAGAGCCGCGGGCACCGCTGCGGGGGCGTCCTGCGGGGAGGGGACGGGGACACGGGGCTGGGTCCCCGCCTTGGGTCGGGGCAGGGCCGGGGGAAGCACCGGGGATGGGGCGGGGGGGGAAGAACCGGACCCGTTCCCCGCCACGGGTCCCGGTGCTCGGCGCTGCGCGGGAGCGGAGGGCGTGGAGGGGGCGTGGTCTCACCTTAAGCCCCGCCCATAACCGCCTCACCCCGCGGAGTGACGCGTGCGCTGAGCAGCCAATCAGAGCGCAGCGTGGGGTTTCAAACGGGCGGTGGCGGCGGCGTGCGGGAGGCGGCGGGACCGGGACCAGGACCGGGATCGGGAGTGACCGGAGCGGGGCCATGCGGGCCTCCAGGACCCCCGCCGTGAGTGCGGGCAGGGGGGGAGCCCAACGGGGTGGCCCCGACAGTGCGGGGCTGCCGTGGGGGGCGGCGGTGGGGCCCGGAGCGCTCCGGTGTGTCCCGGTGTGTGCATACGGGGGGGTTGTGCCGCCGGTGACCCCCGGTGCTCCCCTCCCCGTCCCCTCCTCCCCAGGCGCAGCAGCGGCCCCGGCGCACCCCACTGCAGGAGCTGCGGCTGCAGCCGGGCGCGGAGCGCACCAGCCTCACCCCGCTGCTCCACCGGCTGCGGCTCAAGGTCGGGATGGGACCGGTTAACGGGAGGGGGTGTTGGGGGGGGGGGGGCAATAGCGGGATCGTTGGATGCATTGGGGTGAGGGCAATGGGGAGGTTGGGGTGCTGAGGGCCCACCCTGACCACCCCTTCCCATCTCCTTTAGGACCATGACTGTGCCACCCCAGTGCCCTGCACCCGTGGCCCCCGCAGCAGTGTCACCCCCGTGCCTTGTGCTCTAGGATGCCCCAGAAGTGCTGTCCTGCCTCCCCCCCGCAGCAACACTCTACTGCCTTGCACCCCGGGGCCCCCCAGCAACACCATCCCGGAGGCCCCTGGGACTCTCTCCCTGGGTCCCAGTGTCTTGGAGCCTCCCAGGACTCCCACCCTGGTGCCCAGTGCCCCCAATTGGACCAACCCAGAGCTCCCTGGCAGCTCCACCCCAGAGCCCCCCAGCAGCATGGTGCAAGCAGCCCTGGACAGCTCTATCCCGGGGCCCGGCAACATGGAGCCCCCCAGCAGTCCCACCCCAGATCCCTGTGTCCTGGAGCCCCCCAGCAGTCCCACCCCAGATCCCTGTGTCCTGGAGCCCCCCAGCAGTCCCACCCCAGATCCCTGCATCCTGGAGCCCCTCAGCAGTCCCACCCCAGATCCCTGTGTCCTGGAGCTCCCCAGCAGTCCCACCCCAGGTCCCTGCATCCTGGAGCCCCTCAGCAGTCCCACCCCAGATCCCTGTGTCCTGGAGCTCCCCAGCAGTCCCACCCCAGGTCCCTGCATCCTGGAGCCCCTCAGCAGTCCTACTCCAGGCCAGCCCAGCATCATCAGCTCAGTGCCTTGCACCCCAAACTCTCCAGACAGCACCACAATAGCACCCTGCACCCCTGGGTCCTCAGGCAGCACCAGCTCAGACTCCTGCACCCCAGGCCCCCCCGGCACCACCTCCACCCCACAGGAAGGTCCCTTCCATGGGTGGCGAGTGGCACCCTCTGACTTCTCCTGCAGCCCCGTGGCCCCCGAGCCCCCATCTGCAGATGAGGGTGTTGGTTCCCTGCCTTGCCAAGACACCCCTGAGGAAGCCAAGTCCCCATCCCCTGCCCCACAAGAGCAGGGACCCCCTGCATCCCCTCCCATTGAGGCAGGCAGGTCAGAGCCTGCTGCACTGGAGGGAACAGCTACCCCCATCCCCTCACCAGAGGTGGCCTTGGGTGCTGTGTCCTGGGTGCTGCCATTAGTGTGGCTGGAGAAGAGCCTCAACTCCTCATCCCTGCTGGAGTCCCTGCGGCACAGCTTAACCCTGCCACGGCGGGACATTGGCACCAACATCACCCCAGTGCCTATTGCAACCATTGGCACCAGCGTCACCCCTGTGCCCACTGCAGCCATTGGCACCAGCGTCACCCCTGTGCCCACTGCAGCCATTGGCACCAGCGTCACCCCTGCGCCCACTGCAGCCATTGGCACCAGCGTCACCCCTGCGCCCACTGCAACCATTGGCACCAGCGTCACCCCTGCGCCCGCTGCAGCCATTGGCACCAGCGTCACCCCGGTGCCCACCACAGTCACCGGCACCTTCATGACCCCGCGGGACCTGAGGGAGAGCAGCACCAACACATCCACGGGTCCCCCTCCCTGTGCCAAGGACAGCGCTGCCGAAACAGACTCCCTGCTCTGGCAGTAAGTGTAGGGCCCAGCATCCCCCTGGGGCAGTGCTATGGCACTCGTGGGCTGGCCCTGCCCCAAACCCTCTCTCTGTCCCCAGCTGTCCCCGGGAGCAGCTGAAGTCCCTGCCACGGGCAGAGCTGGAGGGGCGGCTGGAGAGCACCCTCATCATCATCGAGGCCCTGTCGCTTCAGCTGCGGGGCTGGAACGAGAACCAGCGGACCCTGCCTGGCGTGGGGCCGGCTGAGCAGAGGGATGTGCTCACCCAGACCGATGTCACCCACCCCAAAGGGGTAAGAGTCCTCACTGGGGCGATGGCACCCTGCTCCCTGCAGCATTGGTGCTGCCAGTGGGACCGTGGCTTCACAGCCCAGTGGAGTGGAAGTAAAGCACCCAGCACTGCTCCCACCGCGTTCTCTCGCCTGGCTCAACCCGCTGAGCTTGCTGGATTTGATCCCTTTGTGCAGGGAAGCATCCCTGGCACATGTTGAGGGCAGGATGGGAGGGTCACGGCTAAGCAGTGGAGCAGGGCTGGTGCTAAGTCCCCTCTGCTCTGCCATGGTGCCCTTAGGAGGAGGAGATCTACCGCAACCTCTACCTCGAGCTGCGGAGGAGGACGGATGCTCTGCAGCGGCAGCGGGGAGTGGAGCAGGACCTGCATCGGGAGCTGAAGACGGCCGTGGAAGGCATGGTGTGTGTCGGATGCGTGCCGTGCCATGGGTCTCAGCCGGGCACAGTGTGTGTGTGTGGGGAGGGAGTGTGCTCAGCCTGAGCACCGGTGTCCTTGTCCCTTCCCCAGGGTGCCTGGAGCAGGCAGCGCCTCCTGTTCCAGGGCCTCGCGGATGCCTCTCTCCAGAGCCTGCGGGATGAGCAGAGAGCACTCGCCCAGGAGGTGAGACCCTGTGGGGCCGGGCTGGACCCCTTCCCTATGGATTTGGGAAGCCTGGCACACGCAGCAGACATCACCCGTACCCATCACTGTCTCCTCTCGCAGCGGGAGCAGGCGAGGGCCCTGGTGTCCCGGTGCCAGGCCCTGCTGGAAAGGGTTCCCAGCAAGCTGCAGAGCTGCCTGGAGGAGCGGGATGCCATGAGGCAGCGAGCGGATGAAGCCCTCCAAGCCAAGCAGGAGGTAGGGTGTTACCTTGTGCTGGCTGGCCCCAGGCAGGGGGTGATTTGGGGGTACCCCATAGGGAAGAGCATCCCAAAGCAAGCCCAGAGCACACTGCGTCTCTGCAGGCGTCTCGCCAGCTGGAGGAGACCTCGGTGGCCCTGCAGGACACGGTGGCTAAACTGGAGCAGTTGACAGTGGCCAACTCGCGCCTCAGCGCAGGTATGGGTGATGATGTGGGGCTGGAGCTGCCCCTGTGTCCCCCCCCTACACTGAGAGCTCTGGCCCTTGCAGACCACAGCTCCCTGATGACCAGCCTGGCCAGCCTGGAGCAGGAGCGGGATGCACGGCAGCAGGAGCGGGATGCGCTGCAGCAGGAGAACGAGAAGCAGCAAGAGGAGATGGCCTGGTGGGTTCTGAGCCCCGGGGCAGGGCATTGGGGGCTGCGTGTGTGGCCCCATAGCCACCTCCTGCCATCCCTGATCCCACCCCATGCCCGCAGGCTGGCGCGGGAGCGGGAAGCGCTGCAGCGGGAACGCAATGGATTGTGCCAGGAGCTGCGGGAGGCAACCGAGTGCCGGGAGGTAGGAGCTGCCTGACCCTGCCCACGCCATCACGCGCTGCCAGCTCCCATCATGTCCTCATGGGAATGCTGGAGGCTGGCCAGGAGCAGGATTAGTCCTTCCATAGCAGGGGGATGAGGGCGGTTGGCTTCCTGCACGTAGTGCAGCAGCTCCTCTTGCAGCAGTGATTGCCAGGAAAGCTCTCCAGGATAGTTTTCCCACTGGATGTAGATGTGGTGTTGTCCCCCCAAACTGCCCTGTGTCCCTGCTGGTCTTCAGGGGTAAAGCTGCCCCTGATAGGAAACAGCACCCTGAGGAGTAGGAGGGAGTGTGCCAATGGGACCCCTCATCCATGGCTGTGTCCCCCCCCATCCTCTTGCAGTTCCTGGAGCAGGAGAACCAAATGTCCCGCACTCAGCTGCTGGAGGTGGAGGCCAGGCTGAGGTCCACGCTGGACACGCTGCAGGAGTGCAGCCAGCAGCACGAGGAGCTGATGGATTCCCACCAGCGCCTGCGGTACTGGGCACTGCTGGAACCCCTTCTGGTTTGGGGGAATCGAGCCCCTTTTGGAGGGTGGGGGATCCAAAGCGGGACATGGCTCTGGTGTGGTTGCTCAGGTGGGTGGAAAGGGCTGTGGGAAAGGCTGGTACACCCCATCCTGGGGGGAAAACTACCTAAATCCGTGAGGTTTTAGGTGGGAGGCAGGCATGGGAAATGTCCCCATCCCACACTGAGGAAGGGGAACGCTGCCCCCACTGAGGCTGGTGCCATCCCGCAGGGAAGAGCGGGCTGCCCTCAGCAAGGAGCTGGAGAGCACCAAGGCCGAGCTCCTCGACTTGCAGCTTAAGAGGAACAAAGTCTCCTGGTGCTCCAAGGACATCGTGGAGAGCAAGATGCGGCTGCAGGAGCTCGCCGAGTGCCTCAGGGCTGCTCTGCAGGAGGAGGTGGGAGCTTTGCCTTGGGGGTGGCCTGAGGAGCAGGCAGACACCCCACACTTTGAGCCCCCTGTTGCCATGGCAGAGATGTCACTGCTCTGCTCTGCTCTTCCTCCCTTCTGAAGGATGATGATGCTGATGCTGCTGCCCCATCGAAAAGCAGAGCCTGGACCCCGGTCCCACGTACTCCAGGCTGGCAGACCCCATACCATGTCCGGACCCCCGCCTGCCGCACACCGATGGTCCGGACCCCACACCGTGCCATAGCGAGCTCCTTTGTGGGCAGCGTCCTGAAAGCTGTGTGTGGGGAAGGTGAGCTGGTACCCACTGCATGGCTGGGATGGGGATCCCTTCCTCCTGCCCTCCCTGGGAGTGCCTGGATTTCCCCTTATAGAAGCTATGGGTTAGGTCGTGGCTCCAGCAAGCACCCAGGGTCTCCTCTGAGCGCCCTGGGATGGATGTGAGCTCAAGTTGTGCTCCCTGCAGCACACAAGGCACAGAGCATCTGCCCTCTCCTCTTGCAGATGCTGATGAAGCTGCTGGAGTTGGGAGTGCATTTACCAAGGACAAACCTGCTGCTACACCAAAGGCAATAGGTACCGGGGCTGTCACCCTGCCCTGGGCTCTGCATGGGGGATGCTCAGGACGCCTTCCTGCTTGGCTCTGTGTCCCCTGATGTTCTCTCACGAGCCCCTGCCCTGCCCACAGAGCCTGAGGATGGTTTGCTGGAGAGCGTGAAGCAGCTGAGGTCCGTGGTGTCCGACCTTGCCATGCTGAGCTGCCGCATCCAGGACCTGGAGCAGAGCGAGTTCAAGGCGCTGCAGACAGAGATGTGAGCTCAGTGGGGCTCATGTTGAGGGAATGGCCATGAGCAGCCTTGCCTGGGGGACCTGCTCTTGCCCCAGCCCTGGGTTTTCCAGCTGGTGGGATGCCCAGGAGGGGGGTTGGTACCCGGCACCGTGCTCGGCTGTGATCCCCATCCCCTGAGCACTGGTGTTGTCCTCTCCCAGCTCCAACCTGCAGCTCCGTTTGGAGGCGGTGACAACGGAGAGCCAGGAGAAGATCGATGCCCAGGCTGCCACCATCGTCAAGCTGAACAAGGCGCTGAGGGGCAAGCTCGAGGTGAGCTGATGCCAGAAGTGGGCCAGCACTCAGGCCAGGGCAGAGCCAAACTGGGACAGGCGCTGATCTAGGACACGGAGGAATCTGGGTGACCGGCTCTGGAGGTGCCCCATGGGTGCTCCTGGCTCGTCTGACCTTCTTGAACAGGACAAAACCTGCCCCCCCCTCGGGCACTGAGGGCACCCAGGGCCAGGAACTCCCTGACACTGCTTCTTCCCCCTCTGTAGAGTGAGAAGGAGCTGCAGGACGTGGTGAAACGACAGGAAGAGAAGATGCTGCAACTCATCGACAAGAGTGGGGAAGTCACGGTGCGTGATGGGGGCTGTTCTGGGCCGCATGCCCGGGGGTGCAGGCTCCAGGACCCCCCTCTCAGCACCTCCTTTCCCTCATAGAGTCTGAAGGAAGAGGTTTTCCAGCTGAAGCGCTCGCTGCAGCGTGCAGAGACAGAGGCCAAGGTGCTGTGGGAGGAGATGAGGGAGCAGAGACCCAAGGAGGACACTGTTCATGTGCGGGAGCGAGTGCTGCAGCAGCAGGAGGTGAGGCTGGGGGGTGTGGGGGGGTGTCTGCTGTCATGTCCCATCCTGCAGGACCCCATGGACAGGGCCCCCCCACCTTGGCTCTTGCCCCACAGTGATGCTTTGCTCTTGTTGCAGATGGGCAAACTGCGGCTGCTGCTCCTGGAGAAGGTGGATGAGAACCAGCGGCTCTCAGATAAGGTTTGGGGGAGCCCTGGGTTTAGTCCCCCTATTCCCTGAACAGCTTTAGGTCAGGTTCCTGACAGGCATCTCCCACCACAGGTCCAAGGGCTGGAGCTGCGGCTCCATCGCATCCAGAAAGTGCTGAGGAGCCATGAGGAGATGCAGGAGAAGATGAAGGAGGTGAGGGTTGCTCATTGCTCTCACCCTTGCTATGACTGCAGCTCCACCACTGTCCCTAACTCTGCTGCCATCCCCAGGTCCTGGTGGCTGTCCCTGACGTGGCCATGGCGTGCCAGGAGCATCACAGCCTGCTGCGGTACCTGGGCTTGAAGCCGGAGAGTGTCAGCAAAGAGGCTGCGGAGCCGCTATAGCCCCCGGGGTGAAACCTTCCCCTTGTTAATGCTGTAATTATTTATTGAATAAAGTTGTGTTGGCATCCACCCTGCCCCGTGTGCTGGATGCAGGAAGCTCCCGGTGCCCTGGGTGGGGACAACTGGTCCGGCTTGTGCCGCCTGCTCCCGCTCCATCCCTGTCACGGGGCCATGGGCACGGCTCCCTGCCACCCCAGGGCCTCTCCTGCTTGGCAGGGAACAGGCACCGTGTTCCTCAGGCAGCAGCACGGCTCCTCCTCCTGCCCTAGATTCCCTCTGTGCCTCCCTCCTGCCTCCCCGCTGCGGGGGTACCCGAGGCTGCATCCTGCACCCCCAGCATGGGGGGTGTGGGGATGGTTTTCCCCATTCACAGTGGGCCTTTGGCATGAAGCAGCATAGAATCATAATGTTTAGGGTTGGAAAGGACCTTAAGGTCATCCAGTTCCAACCCCCTGCCATGGGCAGGGACACCTCACATGAGACCATGTCACCCAAGGCTCTGTCCAACCTGGCCTTGAACAGGGATGGGTCATTTACCTCTTCTTTGGGCAACTTGTTCCACGGTCTCACCATTGAACTTCCTCCTTGTATCTGACCTGACCTTTCTCCGTTTCACTTTAAACCTGTTTCATCAGGTCCCATGGACTTGTGCACATTCAAGTTTCTAAGATAATCTCGAACCTGATCCTTTCCCAGTCCCTGCTTCTGCCTTCCAAGACTTGAGCAGCGTGGTCAAAGCATCGTGAAGACTTCATTCCTCAAATCCAGGGGCACCGGTTCTCCCGTTTCCTCCTGGAGAGGGCCCATGTTATCCCAAGCCTTCCATTTGGTAGCAATGCATCTATAGGAGCCCTTCCTGTTATCTCCGACATCCCTGGCCAGACCCAGTTCTGTCTGTGCCTGACCTGATCCGCAGCATCCCCTGGGGGCTGTGAGAGCTGCCAGCCAAGCACTGGGAGCTCAGCCAGCTCCTGCTCCCAGCCCCCCCTTGTCCCCTGCTGCTGCTTGGGGGCCTCCTGTGGGGGCTCCCCTGCTCCCAGCACGGTTCCATCCTCATCTCCCTCCTTCCCTACTGGGGCATCTCCTGCGGGATCCCCCTCCCGGTGTTCCCGACCCCAAGGATGCTCCCTGTCACCAGGGGGGCCAGGCTAGAGCCTCCCTCCCTTGTCACAGCCCAAAATAGCAGCGTTCCAACAAGTGCTCTGGTTTTTAATGGCCCGTTTCTCCATGCCTGGAGGGAGGGGGGGGGGATATGACATTCCCCTGCCCTCTGCCGCAGCCCTGCGCCCTGTCTGGGTTGGGTGTTGCAACACCCAGGGTGCTGGCACCTTTATTTACCCTTGCACCCAGGAAACGGAGGTGTTCAGGGTTGCGGTTCTGGTCACTGGGTGTGTAAATGGCTCACGGGGAAGCAGCACCCGCTGCTTCCTCATTGTGTCCCTCCCTGCCGGCAGGGAGTGGGATACAGCTCCCCCCCCCCCAGGCTGGCTGGAGCTGGGATGCAGGGGGAGATGCGCTCCTATTCCCGGGATTAGGGCCATGCAGGGCGCGTGAGCCCTCCTTTTACGGCGGGGATTCAGCAGAGCCGGGTGCTGGCAGCTGGCCCGGACACTGCTATTGTCCCTGCTCCGGATCCCGGCGGCTTTTGGGGGGCTCAGACCCCCCCCCCCCCCCACAATGGCCTGTGCTGCTGGGGCTTAGGGTCTCAATGGGGTGGCAGCAGGGGGGTGGCACAGGGGGGTCTTTGGTCCAGAGGTGATGGGGAAGGACTCTGCATGTAGCTGACGGTGGTAATGGGTAGGGGGGGACAGTGGGGTCCCTGGTCCAGAGGTGATGAGGGGAAGGTGCCTGCTTCTAGCTGATAGTGGCAGTAAGATGGCACACAGTGGGGTCCCGAGCCTGAGGGTGGAACAGGGGGGTCCCTAACTTTGGGGTGATGAAGGGAAGGTCCCTGCTTGTAGCTGGCAGTGGTAATACACGGGGTACAGAGGGGTCCTTGGCCTGGAGATGATGAGGGGGAAGTTTCCTGCCTGTACCTGACAGTGGTAATAGGGGAGCACAAGGGGGTCCCCGGCCTGGAGGGTGACACAAGGGGGTCCCTGCCTTTGGGGTGATGAGGGGATGGTCCCCACCTGTAGCTGGCAGCGGTAATAGCCGGGCTCGGGAGGTCCCTGCTCCGGAGGTGATGGAGAAGGTCCCTGCCTGTATCCCACAGCGGCACCAGGGGGGCACATCGGGGTCCCAGCCGGGGTTATAGCCCCGGGGCCCCCATCACGGGCAGGAGCAGCGGTTGCCGCCAGCGGGGGGGTGTGCGGGCGGCGGCGAGGGGGGGCGGAGCGGGCCGGGGGGCCGGTCCTGCCGGGTGCAGCCCCGCCGGTCACGTAGCTCTGCGGCACCGCAGCCCCATTTACCGCGGGGCCGGAGCGCGCAGCCCGCAGTCCGCTCGCCGCCGCCCGCCCTGCACGGTAAAAGGGGGACCGGGAGAGCGGGGGTGGCGGTGGGGAACGGGGGTCGGGGGGGGGGGGGACCCCATCGGTGGGAGCCGGCCGCCCCACCGGGGCTCCGGGATGGATCCGTACGACGCCATCCCGGGGGTCGGGCAGGGCTGGGGGGGCTCCGGAGCGGACGAACCCCGGGCAGGGGGGTGTTGTTGGATGGGGGGAGCCCGGAGCCAGCCCTTGCGCTGGCGCAGCCCGAGCCCAGGCGGTGCGGCCGGGGATCGCCGCCCCGGTGGGACGCACCGGGCCCGGACGGCGCCAGCGCCGGGGTACCCCAAACCTCGGGGTACCGCAGATCTCGGGTAGTGCCACCCCTTGGGTCCATTCCATCCATCCCTCCCCGGGTAGCGCCATTCCCGGCGTGTTTCCGCCTCTCCCTTCCCCGGTGACCCCATCCCCGCGCTGCCGCCGTTCCCCGCGGGGTACCCCCGGCTCCGGGGTATCTCCATCCCCGCTCCCCCCCCGTGTCCCATCGCTGCCCGGTGGTGCTGCGCTCCCTCAAGATGGCTGGGCTGGGGGCGGGCGAGCAGGCAGCAAAATGGCTGGGAGCTCCCCGGCATCCTCCACGAGGCCCGGGCCGGGCCGGGGTGAGGGCAGCCGCCTGCTGATGCAACGCGCCCGCCCCGTTGGGGGGGTCCCCGGTACCGGTGGCAGACGGAGGTGCCGCCCCGTCGGTGCGTGACTCAGAGCCCGTCTGCTCGCAGCCGCCACCATGACGCACCAATACCCCGCGCTGACGGCCGAGCAGAAGAAGGAGCTGTCGGACATCGCGCTGCGCATCGTGGCCCCGGGCAAGGGCATCTTGGCTGCTGATGAGTCCGTAGGTCAGTGGCTTTGGGGGGGGAATTCGTCCCGACACCCCTTCCTCCGTTGCACCCGAGGCTGATGAGGGTGCTGGGTGCCCGCAGGGAGCATGGCAAAGCGCCTCAACCAGATTGGAGTGGAGAACACGGAGGAGAACCGCCGGCTGTACCGCCAGATCCTCTTCAGCGCCGACAGCCGGGTGAAGAAATGCATTGGGGGGGTCATCTTCTTCCACGAGACCATGTACCAGAAGGCTGACGACGGAACCCCCTTCGTGCAGATGATCAAGGATAAGGGCATCGTCGTGGGCATCAAGGTGTGGGGGGTGTCCGGTGGGTTTGTGGGGTGCTTGGAGGGTGCCGGTGGGGCTCAGCGCCGCCGTCTCCTTCTCTCTACAGGTAGACAAGGGTGTTGTGCCGCTGGCTGGGACCGATGGCGAGACCACCACGCAGGGTAGGTGCAGCAGGTAGTGGGATGGGGGCAGTGGGGTTTGGGGCTGTGGGGCTGACACGCTGTCTGGCAGGTCTGGATGGGCTGTCCGAGCGTTGTGCCCAGTACAAGAAGGATGGGGCTGACTTTGCCAAGTGGCGCTGTGTGCTGAAGATCAGTGACAACACCCCCTCTGCACTCGCCATCATGGAGAACGCCAACGTCCTGGCCCGCTATGCCAGCATCTGCCAGCAGGTATGTCTGTGGCCAGGCATCGCCCCACAGGATGGGCATTGACCCATAGGATGGGTGTTGACCCCACAGATCCATGGGGCTCAGCATTGCCCCGTGCCTGGCTATCGCCCCATGGAGCTGGACATCAACCCATCGGCTAGGCAACGCTGCACATGGACGGGCATTGACACCCAGAACCAGGCATTGCCCCATGGGGTGGGCATCACCCATGGGATCAGGCATGGATTCATGGGAACAGGCATTGCTTCATGGGGCTGGGCATTGAGCCTTGGGGCTGAGCATCCCACCCCAGCTCCAGTCACTGGTCCCCATGGGAATATCCATGGACATCCCTATGATGGCATCTGTGTGGTGTTTGCAGAATGGCATCGTGCCCATCGTGGAGCCAGAGATCCTGCCTGATGGTGACCACGACCTCAAGCGGTGCCAGTACGTGACGGAGAAGGTGAGTGTTGGGGTGGGCAGCAGGGCAGGCACGGTGCCACGCTGTGCTGTGCTGTGCCAGAGGGACTCCATGCTGCCCGTCCCCACTAGGTGCTGGCAGCTGTCTACAAGGCACTGAGCGACCACCACGTCTACCTGGAGGGCACCCTGCTGAAGCCCAACATGGTGACCCCGGGGCACTCCTGCCCCACCAAGTATAGCCCCGAGGAGATCGCCATGGCCACTGTCACTGCCCTGCGCCGCACCGTGCCCCCCGCCGTGCCAGGTACCGGCACCAGGACATGGTGGGCACCAAAAGGGGGATGCCCTGCGGCCCCTCGCAGTGAGCCATAACCCCGCTGTCTGCAGGTGTCACCTTCCTGTCCGGGGGTCAGAGCGAGGAGGAGGCTTCCATCAACCTCAACGCCATCAACACGTGCCCGCTGGTGCGGCCATGGGCTCTCACCTTCTCCTATGGGCGGGCGCTGCAGGCGTCGGCGCTGAGCGCCTGGCGCGGGCAGAGGGACAACGCCACCGCCGCCACCGAGGAGTTCGTCAAGCGCGCAGAGGTGATGGGGTGGCACCAGGGACGGTGCCACTTGGGACAGGGGATGTGAGGGTGATGGGAGACACCGAGGGCTGTGCCCCATAGGACAAGGG